TGCGCAAGATTCGCCGTGCGCAAGTTTCTCGTGCGCATCTTTCCGTGCGTAAGTTTCGTGGTGCGCAAGTTTCCGTGCGCATCTTTCCGTGCGCAACTTTCGTCGTGCGCATCTTTCGGGTTCCCCTTCGAAAAGCTGTGACGAAAATGTGGAGAGCTACATTTCTGTTTTTTTCCGTAAAAAGTAGGCCTCACCATTTTGGATGTAGATTCTTAAGAAAACATTTTTCAGGTGGCGGATGCATCTCAAAATCTTTAAAACAATTTTTTCTTCAATTTGAGGTGTTCCCCAGCTCTCTAGAACGTTTTGTAACGGAGCTATGCTCAAAACAAAACGAGTAAAAAAGGTAACGCTATGACATGTCTGCCAGCGGAGTTACATGGACAAGCCGCGAAGTCCGATAGCAAAAAAATACTACGAAATACTACGAAAATACAATGCCCTCCATCAAAAAAAAAAGTAGGTCAGAAAATTGAAATAAAAGAACTTCTAAGTTTTAAATTTGAATTTTCAATTTAAAAGTTTGAGTTTCGTTCGTTTTAAAGTTGATATTCGTAATCAGCGCAAAAAGCTGCGTCTAGTAATCTGCTTTCAAGGCTAGTTTGAGAGAAAGAATATTGTTCAACCCTCCTCAGCTGAGAGTGATAGTTACGCGTTTTAGCCGCGTATTACGTCTCTGAGAATATGAACGACATCTATCCACAGTAAAAATATTTATTTTTTCATTTTTCAATCGATTCATTTGAAAATTTCAAAAAATGTTTATCATAACACAGTGACTATAAGAGACCCAATGTGGAACATTTTTTTGCATCCACAGCTTTTGAAAATTGTCTTATATTTAATAATATAATAACAGCACCAACAAACAACTATAATAAAATACAAGTTTTTCCCGTTTTTTTTTCCCTTAGTATTAAATTATAGTAAAAGCAAATAAACAAACAAAAACAAAAAAGTCTATGCATCAGTTTCATTCGATCTTGAAATAGAATCTGTAGCAGAAAAATAATCATTTCTAAATTTTTGTGGTAGAATTCTGAATATATTAAATTTCTTGTTCAACCATATAATTATGAATATAAATAATATTTGTATGCCAGCAAGTATATAAAAATAAAGTGATCCATTCAATTCACATTGTTTTGATTCTTTTGGATTACTTATAAATAAATTTAAATAACCTGAACTTAAAAATGATGATATTCCATGTGAACAAAAACGTAAGGACATAATAAGACTTTTTGCTGAACGTGGTGCTGTTAAATAAGCAAATTCAAGACCTTCAAAAAAAAAGAAAAAGAAAAGTGACTAATTATCATGTAAAATTGCAAATAAGATGAGAGAAACATACTTGCAATTGACGTGAACACCTCACTAACTCCAATAGCAATATATTGTGGAAATTGTAGAAATATTGTCAGATTAGATGCATCGTATGTCTGATTACCTATATATTAAAACAAGAGACAAAATTTTATTTTAGAAATATATTAAGAAGAAGAAGTATTAACGTTATACCGATCACTTGTGTAACAGGCTCTTTGTCGACACATGATTGAACACGAAATATTTCTACTAGACCAGAGGAACACATTGCACTGATCATTCATATTGAATATCCGGTAAAAAGAAGACGCTCTCCTGAATAGATGACTAAATTCCTCTTGAATGGTAGATATTTTAAAAAACTGAAGCCAGACAAAATCGATAGCGAAAATGTTTTTTTTTTAAAGAAGAAACGGATGAATAAACGTAACAAATTTATAGAGATCCACCTTCTATCAGATAACATCTTCTTATTCCATTAGTATTATAAATAATGGATGATCATATCAGTATTTGATATGATTGTAAATATTTTAGCATGTGAACAAAAAATAAAGCTTCCATCAGTTGAATTTATAATACATTTCTCACTGAAATGTTTTGTTTTACACTATTCTGCATTATTATGAACCCTGTGAATTGTTCTTGTCAAAGTCTAGATTAAAATCAGCGTAGAATATTCCGATGTGAGACAGATCGAAACAAATGATTCTAATTTGTGAACATCTGCAATTACATAATATCTAGATGTTTCGATCAGAGGTGTGTACAGGGCAGTACGATCCTGTCCTCCCCCCTTCCAGATCAAGAAAAACGTTTTAGTCCTGTCCCGTAGGTCAGCAGAGACAGGACAGGAAAACATTTTTTTGCCCTGCTTTTTCTAATGCTAAAAATAAGGCAGTTTTATAAAGGAAAAAAAAGAAGCGTTAGATAGACCTGATGGAGTCCAATGCGAATGTCCTAGTGCTCAAACGTGAACTCTAATAGAAATAATTATAAAGAAAGAGAATTTGGTACATAAAGAATAAACAACAGCAATTTGTTTCTTATTGGCGTCTTTGTTATCTTTTTTAACAAAATTAACCAAGATCCATTGCCGTTTTGGGAATCTCACGAACAAAAATTTCCTTATCGTTATGCTCGATCCGTTCATTCAAGTGCAGCAGCGTCTACCGGAGTTGGAAGAACATTTTCTGGAGCTGGATGGGTGATAAACGAACGAAGAACAAGTCTAAAGCCTAAACAGTTGGATAATATCTTGTTAATAGGATTAAGTTGAAAAAACAAATAATTACCGATGAAAAACTGTTGTTTTCTCTCTACCTCGTGTTGTTTTTGTTATGAAAAAACGGTATTTGTTTTTTTCATTCTTTAGACGGGACAAGACTGGGCAGGGCGGCAGAACAGGACCTCACCCCTCTGCCTTCCCTTTTCCCCTTTTCCAGAAGAATGCATATTTTCAACTTATACTGAAAATAACCAAGCTTTTGTACTATGTCGATTTGTTTTCTTCATTTTTGGAGACCGCTCTGAATATCCAAAGATCTCAATATCCAATAATCTTTCCCAAATCATCAGTTTTCTCTATAAATCTTAATTGTGAAAATCAGACTCTACTGCTAAAGTGGGAAAAATAAATGATTTGTAGTGGTTTAAAACAAACTCGATATGCGCACAATAATCTAGGAGAATATATTCCAGTTTTTTTTCACTTTGAATCAGAATTTGTACAGTTAGTGTTACAGAGTGCCTTTAACAACAAAACGTAACTTTATTCTGAAAAATCTTTTTATGTTTTCAAATCTTTCGACAAAATTCGTTGACATCAAACCGCTTCATGATCTGAAAAGTGTAACGTTGGACGTTTTTTGATTTGATCCCACCTTTAGTATGAACTTTTTCTAGATAGTCAATCTCAATGTACAAGGATTAAATATGTTAAAATTCTTTTATTATTTTTCATTTTTCTCGTGAACTACAGTGTCAAATGAAAAAAAATTTCTAAATGGTGAACACCGTCATTGAATTGTGTTGCCTTACTTGGACGTTCTCAATGAATGAGCTCACTAATGTAGCACAAACCATTCCAATAATAAAACGTGTTTCAATTTTAATTGACACACGTGGATAAACAAAAGAATTTAAAAATATAATAATAAAAATAATAATAACTTGATCACCCAAGGAAAGCCATATAGGCGGCATACCTCTATCAATACCTAGACTCGGAACTTTCATATGCAAACCTTGGATGACAAACGTAGTTTCTGCCTAAAATATTAAATGAATAATTTTAACTTTGAAGAATATACTAGTAAAATAAGTGAAGTATTTCATTGGAATCAAAGAAATTTTCTTATTGTACTGCGTGACTGCATCGTGAGATCAACAGCTAATTTACACTCATTCTAAGTCAACAGGATGGCTACTGTTAACGGGTTTAATCTATTCACGCTGAAATTGAAAAATGTTGAGCAGGTACTTAGACTACTCAGCATCGGTCTTTATCCAGTAGTGCTGTTTTAACAATCAAGTGCTCTGTTTCTGCATTGGTGAATTACGAAGTAGTGTACAATAAGTGTATCAGTCATCTGATGTATCTTCAGATGAAAAAAAAGACACTTATTTCTTGGACTTTTTTCGTTTTTTTAGGACACAAGTTCATTGAATGAAAGTTTGGGATGTAAACAAGGATCAAATGCGATTTCATTTCTGTTGTCCTTTTTTTATGATCTGTTATAGTTACTGAAATACTAAAAATAAAAATAGGTTTCTTTAGCAAAAAAGAACTTTTTATTCAACAAGAAGCACTCAAACGTCTTGTTTTTTAGGTAAAAAAAATCGAAAAGAAGTTTTTTTATATCGATAAAATCCAAGACAAGCGTTTTTTTAAAATACGTTTTATACTCGTTGTCTAATTAGATCAAAAAGGTATTTTTATGTTAGAGAAAAATAGTTGTTCCATTCTTATTGTTACTACAAGATCGAAATAGATTTTTTAAATATCTGATTCAGGTTTCTTTTTAATTAACCGGTGAATACATTTCGAAATGAATAGTAGTATAATAAACACCGAATGCATAACTATGTATTACGAGACGTTTCGTACAATATCTTAGTACATCAATGACTGAGGATGTACTAAGATATTGTACGAAACGTCTCGTAATACATAGTTATGCATTCGGTGTTTATTATACTACTATTCATTTTTAAATATCGTTTCTTAAATCTATTCAAAACTGAATGATTTAGTACATATGAAACTAAATATTATGGGAAGAAATACCATATTGATTTTTTATATTCCTAAAGGACTTTTCTTATATCTAAGAAAATAGTCTTTAAGGTCTAAATCTATTGTTGAATGTTGAAAAAAAGTTTTATTTCGCTTTTAAAACCAACAACTTCTTTCGAAAAATATTAGAGTAATTTCAGAGTACATAACATTATAACATTTCATGTCGAATAGAGCGCTACACATTTTCGTTTTTTGTGTTGAGAACTTTCGAATTATTACGTACAAGTCTCAGGGATATATTGTAGACATTCTTCCCATATCATTCATCGTTCAAAAGACTATTATGACTTGTCCACGTAACTTGGCTAAAAAACGGGATTCCGTCACGTTTTCTAATTTAACGTCATAACTTTTAACACAAATAGATAGAACTTCCAAAAGCATTTTATTCAAAAGCAAATTAGAAGCTCTTCAAAACTGGATTTACTCAAACTTTTGAAAAACTTCCTCTTAAAATATCTCGCAGAATCTTCTAAAGGCTCTCCAAAAACCGAAAACTGAGTAGTGTGCTTCGGTTTCTTGAAAACTGCATTTGAGTGAAAGCTTCTCAAAAGTTTACTTGAATCCAGTTTTGAAGAGCTTCTAAATTTCTTTCGAATGGAATCTTTTCAGACATTGTATCTGCTTCCGTTAAAAAGTTATGACTGTTTTAAAAGTTAAAAAACGTGACGGAATCACGTTTTGTGGTCTCGTTTTTATGTGGACAGGTTGCTGAATTTCTGCTTCAGAACTTCATAAGAAACTAATTAAAATGAAAACTGCGTGCAAGCTTGCGTCTTACTTATCTCTAATTTTTCTTAATTTACCAAGAGAATCTTTTTAAAAAGGGTTTTTCTGTGATTTACCGATTTTAATTTAATAACTCATTCTTTTTGTTTATGTTCTTCGCGGTTATTTTCATCTAGATCGTAACGTTGGAAACTGTTTTTTGTTCTGCATTTACGTTGTTGATCAATAATTTATTGCTATTTCTCTGCCCTTGTTTAAACTTTAATATTATTCATTAATTGGACTGGAATCTTTTCATTCCTCAACGCTGCATGGTTTCCATCAGCGAGAAAAGAAGAACAATGTAAGAAAAGCGAAAATACCTAATTTTATTCTAATGTTTTATATGAACTTTGGATGCTACTCAACTTCTTCTAATCGAATTCTTAGTTTTGTCTTTTCTTCCGGTAAGATTTTAATTCAAGACCTAGATAAGAAAGTATAGATGTTCAAAACATTCTAAGAACTCAGTAACTGGACAAACTCAATATTAACTTGAAATAAATTCGTAGGCTTTCCTTTCGTAAACATAACTTTTCAAAGCCTACGATCAAAATTATCAGATATCTAATGGCTATCGCCATTATATATGAAAGTAAATGTAAAAATACTTTCATCATTAGACATCACAACATTGTAATGGGATGCACTCAAGATTTTGAGTACAAGAAGTTTTTCCTAAAATTCTCTTTACTCTTAATTAGAGATGTGCAGAATGACTCTGTTCTACCCTAACCTGATAGGATAATATACAAAGTTTTTAGGGTAGAGCAGGCTAAGCGTACGAAAGTTTTTATAAAGGAGGGTACAGGTTTCGACGTTTGTCATAGATAGGCATGCACCAATCCGATGGTTCGACGACTGTAATTAATTGTAATTTTAGATTAGTTTGTAGCTTTATTGCAATAATTTGGACCGTTAACTGAACAAGTCGCGAACACGTTCTGTCAGGTAATTTTATGTTCGGACGAAGCAAATACGATAGTTTATATTTTTCTTGTCGAGGATATCGGCGAGCGCTCTGTTGAGGAATTATTAGAATAAAATATCATAAATCCTATAAAAATACATTCGAATTGGGACTGCAGCTTTCTGTCTACTTTATTTGTACAGTAAGAAAAAGCATTTTTGCATGAAAACAAAGTAAATCAATCTACTACAGAGGCTACACCAGTAAAGTATGCTTTAGTTAGAGAGTAAATCAGATAAAATGGAAACTAAAGGTTCAAACAAAGATTCAAACTTTTGAATTAGAGCAATTCAATAAGCTATTCAGAAAAAAATTTGGACCGATTCTGTTCAGCGTATAAAAAGTCGATAATGTTTCTTTACATGACTACCTACGACTACAGCGTAATCATGGCTGCTCTTTCGTTTGGTATAATCTTCACCATTTTTTCTGTTTTACAGTGATTTCTTTTATGTCTTTTTTCACTCTCACATTCTTAGCTTTGACAAATTATTTATTTTAAACCTTCGCTACCGAATCATTCGGTAACGAACAGTTCGCTGTCGATGAGCTAGGATTATTCCATGCCTAGTCATAGACTGTGCCCTACAACGTAAAGAACGCTTAATATTGAGAGNTTGGCTATTTCTGGAAAGTAGTAGTTTTCAAGATAAATCAATTTTGCCGAAATAGAGGCGCTGCTGTGAAGTGTAAAATGCATTTATTTTGAAAACTGCTGCTTTCCAGAGAAAACCAAAAACACCACAAATTTTCTAATTAAAAACTTTATTTAATTTAATAGATTCATCCAATGAATTTCATTTTACCTAACATATATGCATCCGCTAATGATAGCATTTTTTAATCGTACAACAATCCATCAATCCCCACACTATTTAGAAAACCCTAGTGACCGAATATTCGAACAAAGACAACAATCCATTTGTTTTTATAACGGTTTTTCTGAGAAAGTTATTTGTCATCTAATATCTGACTACTTTTACTTCGACATACCTGAAAGTAAATTAACCAATATGGAATTAATAAGAGGAATACAACAATGACATATTTTAATAATTTGATATCTTCAACTACCCGATCAATAAATTTGCCACCATTAGATGATTTTGCAAAATCAATAAATCCTACTTGTTGTGAACCATTAATAGAACGATCAATTTGTCTTGAAGCACCGGTGATACTATTACTATTACTTCTGCCTAAAGATTGTTCTTCTGAATTATTTTGCCGATTTTGTTGCATACTTTCAAGACGTGAATGTTTTCTTTTTGAACGAAAGGCGTTTAACATTACAGGAATAAAGAGTGTAATAACAGAATCATATGGTGGAGAATGAATGAATAATCGATAACTACATATAAATAAACCAGCACCAATGATCAATAGTCCTGTTGGTATTATATAACCATAGGGTATTGAAGTACTTAGATTTTGTTGAATGTAAGAGATAATGCCTAACGCTAAAAATCCTCCAAAATTAACAACTGCATAATATTTATGAAAATAAATACATGTTTCAACAGAACCTAAATTTTGAACTTGTTCAGCACCAAAAACGGCCACATTCGACTGTACAGCCCCAGAACCCAAAGCACTATATAGAAAAAGAGAAATTCTTCAATTAGCTTAAATATTTTTGAGAAAAATACAAAAGATTTACATGACTATTAATGTTGACAATAGAATTGGAGAACATTTTTCTTGATAAAGTTTATCACCAGTTGATGTACTACAAACTTTATTGATTGAGTCAAATGTAAATAGTAAAAATATACAATAGCCAATACAATAGATTATATAACCACCAATGATTGTCTTAGCACGACCCAATTTAGCATCACTCAGCCAAGCACTAAATAACGCTGATACATAACTTGTACCTAAAATTTAAATACAACATTTTCTTTTTTATGTAAATTACAACAGGAGATTTTCTTCTTTCTTTGAAAAACTCAAATTATTTTTTAACGTATACATCTTACATTAATTTACCTAAGAAAATAAATGATGTTGTTAAAGCATTGAATTGTTTCCATTGAAAACTTTTTGATGCCAACAGTAGAAGTAAGTTTCCAATTAAACTATAAAATGCTAGACGTTCAAACGCAGTACTGACTAATATGATAAAAATAGCTAATCGTCGACGAAAATTTGATCGATTATCGTGAAGTGGTGCAGCACCGGGTGGACGATAAAGAAGTGGTGCTGCTTCATGTGTTAAACTTGTTTTTGTTATTCGATCGAACATTTTTAGAAATAAAAATATTTTATTTTATCGATTACGTCCTGTATCTTGTAATAACAAAACATTAATTCAAATGTTTCACCTTCAATGATGAGTAATAATGATGTAAATGAAAAATGCAGTGTAAATAAAACAGATGCAAACTTTTATCTGTAAACAGAACAAACGACATACCTTTGATATCTTTGACGCAAATTTTTAAAGGCAAATATTATTACGTCTAACTTTTACAATTAAAAATTGAAAGCATTAAATGTAAAGAACATAGTTTACATCATACAAAATCATTAGTTAGAAGAAAAAAAAATTGATTTGAAGATAAATTTCTATACCTCACTAATTGAGAATTGTCTACTAAAGTAAACCAAAAAATCTGAATACAGAACAAATTTCGATATTCTATCAGCTAACTTCGCTTTGTCAGATAGACTATTTGTAATTTTTATTGTAGGATATTATCATTCGAAGATTATCAGGCTCTATTAAGGTATATGAAAGGGTATTGATACAAAAGATTCAGAACGCAAACCACACGTCTCTAGCTACTTCCGTTGAGAAGTTATTCAAGTTGCAACCAACTGCATTGTCCTATGAAATGGATAGCAGTAGTTATTTAAAAGCTTTGATGAGAAAAAATTTAGCAAAAATAACAAAATACTATCCTCCATTACTGAATCAGGAGGACAAATTATTTTCTCTAACGCTAATTTTATCAGTAAATTACATTTATGATAAACTAAGCACATATAAAAGAAGGAGTTTCAACTTCAAAATAGACGCATCTAAAAATCGACGATTTTCCACGAAACTTAGACTTAGATGATGGATCGAAATGTTTCGAATATAGCTAGAATACTGATGTATTAGGATGTCTTTATTCAATCTGCTTTTAACGACAGTGGCGTTGATAATAAATATTGAGTTTTTGTAAGAACATCATTCAGTTGCGGAAAACCATAGCCTAATATCAATGTATAATGAAATATGGATAGTAGAGCTAGACTAGTATGTTTTAAAAATACTTTTTGTCCTTGTTTTGTCTTTAATTTAACCATTCATCCTCTTTTCGCTATTCATTGAGCTGAGATGATGGTATATTATTTGTTCTGATATTCGCATATCATTGCACGTGATTATAAAAACTCACACACACACACAATATTTAGGAGTAAAGAGCTCACACAGTTTAGGAAAATGGAGAAAATAATAGAATGGTAGCATGTGTCTGTCTTCTATCCTTTCGCTTCTCTTTTCTTTTCTCCCGCACATGTTAACGATGCGCGCAAACCGACAGGCAAACAATTTGTAACCCGTATTTCCAGTAACAGTACTATTACTCTCATATTTTTACTAGAAGCCAGTTCTCTATTGCTATCGTGTATATAAAGAATGGAGAACAGCGTCTTATTTCGCACATTTTACCTTTGAATGAAACAGAAAAAGAAGATTCTTCCAGTTGCACATGAATGTGGGCCGTGTTAAACACGACTTTTATTCCATATTCCACTATGGTGGTAATAATCAGCATTTTGCCTCTATCGAGGATCTACGATTTATTTCTTGTTTGATAATTACAGCTATTCATGTAATTAATCTTGTAAACGCATTTATTCAGCTCCATCCTCACGTGGAATACACATGTAAAAAGTAGAATTTATTCAATAAAATAGCAACAGCAAAAGCTTGTTTTGAAAGCACTGTCCGCTATACATTTTAAAACGTGCTTGTCAGTATTGGCTTGGAGTGGCTTCAACTCACCCTCTCCATTCCCATGTCCAGTATCGTTTTCAACGATTTCGATTTTTTTGATAAAAAACAAATTTACAGACTATAGCGGACTATGACGAATAATATGTTCATAGGCTGTAACAGTACAAAGAAACCTTATAGAATATGACTTTTCACCATGGAAGAAAAATACGAATTAAAGTTGAAACGTTTTGAGAAATAAAATAAAATTTTGAATTACGAATAAAAAGTGCATTAAACATTTCTAAACTTGATTCACACTTTTCATATCGAATTATTTAAAACAGTTCAAAATGGAAAAATAAGAGATGACAGCCAACAATATTAGTTTAAAAATGTTCCTTTTGATTGTTTTATACAACCATCTAACTATAAATAAAACACATTGTAAACTCCAAAGTTCTTCTAATACGTGTCTGATAGTAAATGGTGCTGTTAATCTTATTAATCCAATATCATGTGTTTTCACTGTTCCTGTGCGTTTTTTTGTATAATAGCCACAACAACAATCTTTTAAACATACTTTTTTTGCTATAGATGGATCATTTTTGTTGTATAAGGCAAAGCTATGTAATTGATTATTCAAACTTGAATAAATAACTTTTTTTAATCTTTGTCTATTACGATTGATAATTAAATTACTTAAAAATGGAAAATCTATTGTGCCTAACCAACTAATCAATTTTAAAATTTTCAATAGCAGAGCTATAGAATATAAATGTAATCGATCAACATTTGGTTGATGAATATTAAGTGCTTGAGATAATTCTTTTCCCAACAGTGTTTGACATAATCCAATATGAAATTGATATGAAACAGGTATTAATCCGTGTAAATAAACAGCCATTAGAGAATGATGTACCATATGTTTTGATAATTCTGTGGGAAAATAATGATGATAAAAAATTGATTCAGATATTATTGTAGCTAAATTATATGAGGATACATAGTATAAATATTTTTCTTCGATACCAATCAGCCATCCAATATATCGCCATAAATGTAAATATGATTCTTTTTCTTCCATGGACAAATGAATATTCATTCGTTTTTCTATACAATTTAACATACTATAGGTAAAACCTAATAATGTTACGAGTAGATCTTCTTGATTGATGGGTACATCACCGCTACTAGATGTCTTTCTGTTTTTATTGATTTTATAACGTACCATTCCGTGTAATAATCGAACTCGAATTACATCAGCCCATGTCTGATCAAAATCATCAATGTCACCACAAACAACGCTCATTATCATTTGTAAGGTTTCAATTAATCGACGATGGGTTAACGACAGTGGCGTTGATAATAAATATTGAGTTTTTGTAAGAACATCATTCAGTTGTGGAAAACCATAGCCTAATATCAATGTATAATGAAATATGGATAGTAGAGCTGGACTAGTATGTTTTAAAAATACTTTTTGTCCTTGTTGAATTTGTCTTTTATTTAACCATTCGGGTGTTGTGTGTCGAACAAATCGATCAAAATTACAAATACATTGATGACCGTCATCCTCATCACATATGTGTGTATGTTCTTCTAGATTATCGATATTTTGAACGAAATGATAGATATCCATACCATCTTGTACTTGTTGACCCCATATATCGAAAAATTCATCCACAATCGTGTCACCTTCTTTTCGCCATTCATTTAGCTGAGATGGTGGTATATGTTTGTCAGTCCATGTAAATGCTTGACCGTAGATCAAGATTTGACTGCCTACAGATGGATCAGAACGTATACGTGGCTTTGTGGATAAAATAAAAACGTTATTCTCTCGATCAGAAATGCTATAGGGGCATAACATTTTGCTATTGTTTCGTTTTATAATCTATATATACGAAAAATAAAGACAGACCACGTGTGACCTATAGTGATTCTGATGAGTAATGTATAGGTTTGAGATGAGATGAAAATATTTCCATTCTTTTTTTCGTTCTATTCAACGTATGATATGTGAGTGATTATAAATTTCTTTTTTTCTTTCCCTTTTTATCATATATATTTGCTTAACGATATAGTCGACTATTGTTTATTGCTTTTCTTTTCTTTCTTCATGCATAGTCGATAGTCGCTTATATTTTGTAGTCATTTATTCATAAGACAACAACAAGTTTAATCAACATCAGCAAGAAATTATCGCACTAACACTTTGTTTTTTGGTTCTCTTTCCCTTCTTTTCTTAGTGGTTCCTGCACGTTCTTTGTCCTTAATCAGCATTTTTCTTCTTTTAAGGGGAAGCGGAACAAAACCTTTTCCGCTTTTTATGCAGTATTTTATCTACGCTGCCAATCTACAGTCTTAGTTTGCCTAATCTTTTTCAGTTTCTGTGAAAAGTTCGATGGAATTTGTGGTCCTCGAAAAGTTCAAAAATCGTGTCCCACTCTCCTTTGAGTCTACTGCGCAGCCAATAAGCACCTTCAGTCAAATGTTTTTCCACGAAAAAGTTCATCAAAGTAGGCACTTTAGATTACTGAAAACCGCAAGTTAATAGGTTTTTCCGTTTTTGAGTAATTGACATTTTAGTGACGTCCAGTGTCTTGTGACATACAATTTGTCCCACTCCTTCTGACTCTCTCCTGACCGAAATATATTGAATTAAGAACTCGTTTTTTTACCATATATGTCAAATGGGTTTCACAATTTATGCTATAAAAGCCAAGGCTTCAGCTTATTTCTAAAGGAAGAAATTTGAAAAATACATCAGAATGTCCCACCCCCAAACATATCTCTAGAATTGTAATGGCTAGCACATAAAAGATTTTGGCCGAGAAGGACTTGATAGTTTGGAAACAGTGTTTTTTCCATAATTTCAAGTATCCTCTATAAACCTATAGTGTTAAAATATTTTTCTGGACACTTTGATTTTGGGTGATTTTTTCCTTTAAAAACGGTACAAAAACCACCAGAATCACTCATATATATTAAGACTGTTGTCGCGCGTGATGTCATGCTTTCTTCCGTCATACAAGAAGATACATATCTGTTCCATATCTATATATGCTGTGATGTATATTCCTCGATTAGTATGAAGGCAAAAGAACGAAGAAAACATGACATCACGCACGACCAGAGTTGCCAAATGCTTAAGTCAGAAAAGCGAAAACGCATTTTTTACCAAACGCAAAGGGGTATCAAAAAAAAAATTTCTGTTGTTTTCTGATGGTTCCACTTAAGAAACACAAAAGAACTACAAAACATCATTTAAATTCCAATTTGAATCGCTATTGGTTTTTTGTGGTTCCGCGTTTTTGATCAACTGTCATAAAAACAAATATCCAGTGCTTTTGGAGCGGGAGAAGAAACAGTGTTTTTTTTGGACAGTGTATATCCATCAAGAAACTAGACTAAAGAGTAAAATATATAGCCATAACATGAACATCAATCTGAGATTTGTATTCAGCATGAAAACTTACCTGTATAAATCGTTGCTGACGATAAAATAAAGTAACTGGGTATGAATACTTGAAAAACAAGTTCAAAGTCTTAATTGACAAAATATATGAAAAATATTGTAGGAATCTTGCAGAAAAGACTTCGAACTTGTTTTTTCAAGTATTCATAGCCAGTTACTTTATTTTATCGTCAGCAACGATTTATACAGGTAAGTTTTCATGCTGAAT